CAAACCTTGGTGTTAACCAATCTCAACAACAAGTGCCTACTAGAAAGGACACACCTGATCTCCGACCTAAAGGAAAGCTCGTAGGAAGTTGTTCAACCTAAAGACCTACTGAAAGGCAACGAATTGGGACAGTCAATACCCCAGTCAGCCCCGTTGTTCCAACCCCAATCGTATCTTACTTCGGAAACCTCCCGCACTGCAGCAAATGCAACTACCATCATTATGGAGTCTGTCGAGTGCTGCATTGCACCAGATGCAACAGGAAGGGGCACACCTCCAGCAAATGTAGGACCCTAGTTGAGTTCGTCACTCTGAATGCCAATGTTGGGGCTATCCCAACGTGTTACCTCTGTGGTAGTGTAGGACATTTCAAAAGAAATTGTCCAAGGGCTAAGAATGGCAAGGAAGCTCGCTTCGCGAAGACCCCGACTCAACACATTTCTGCTATTACCGATGCTAACACAATTCAAGTGTGTTGTGCATGTGGCGAAATGGGACATTTCAAAAGGGACTGCCCAACAAAGAAGAACGATGAGGAGACCGGAGGAGTCTGACCTCAGAAGATGGGAAGCATCAAAGAACCCTACAATGTTTTGGGTACATTTTCAAAAACCTCAATAATTATTCATAATCGTGATTTCTTTCCCGTCCAAATTAAATCACAACTTACTTTTAAAAGTTGATGCCCTAATGGGTAAATTACGGTAGCCTAGTGTATACATTGGAGTCAGTTGTGTTTATACATGGCTTGTGTACACCAAACGATCATAGAGGGATCTAATAAGAACCAATCCATCAAGAGTTCATAGTTTCAAAACATCCGGACCCTCGTATTAGTAGTACCCACCAAGTCAAATCAAACACAGGAAACACCCGAGCCATTCATCTAGGAACACCGATGTACTAACAAAACGATCCTCCCGGACTAACTTAACGCGCAATTCTACGGCGCCATCCTGTTTAATCCGACTGGGTCTATGTCATATCAAACCCTTTGTCTTAAATCATTCGATCGCGAAACTCCCGTCGCTCGTGACGACAAACTAGATGCGAACTTCGAAGAATTCATCTCTATTCGAAACCCGAAAGTATTCATACGAAGAGTGTCATCCACAAAGAGAAGGACAAAGTAAGAGAACCATCCGGACAATTAAAGATGCGTCATGGGACACACATATATCCTTAATTGAACCTTCTTGCAACGACGGCGACCTTTCCAGTAGCAAGGTTGCGCCGTTCGAAGCCCTCTGCAGCCATAAGTACAGACCCCATCTGCGCTGGGCTGAGGTGGGCAACATGCAACTAGACAAGAGTCAAATCCCCAATAGCACTCTCGCAAGTCCTGAAATCATCCGAGAGACGGCAGAAAAGAACGTACGAAAGGGACTACGCCGATGAGAGACAAAAACCCTTGAGTTCCAGATTGGTGGACGTGTCCTTTTGCAGGTCACACCCTGGAAAAGCCCGATATGCTTCGGAAGGCGTTGAAAGCTAAAATCAGGATACGTTGGACCGTCCAAGATCCTTGCTAGGATCAGTCCCGTAAGCATACAAACTCTAGTTACCCCGAGAACTCAACAAATTCCATTCCTCCTTCCTCGTGTCGAACCAAAATGAGTACCCGTCCGATGAGACACCTACGATATCCCCTCGACAACCTCGAGTTAGACGAGAGTCTACACTTGGTGAGAGAATCATCCGAGCTCACGGATCGAGAAGTCAAGCGAACGAAATAACGTCACATCCTGATAGTGAAGGTCCGCTGGAATGTCAATCAGGAACTTGGATTCACTTCGGAGCACGAGAGTCCCATGAACCCTAAGTACCTCCATCTTTTCCAAGACCATGAGTTATATTCTTATTCTTGAATTTCGGGACGAAATTCCCTCTAACGGGGGGATAATGTGACAACCCGGAACTTCTATCAAGGTTAAACTCGACTCCGTCACCTTTTATCACCGTTTAAGGGTCCGTTTAAGTGTTCTAATCTTGAGTACAACCATGGCTGAGATTAGGGATGAACTGTAAAGTCGTAAGGTAGCAAAATCGGGCCATACACCCTCTTGGGAGGAGTGTACAGCCGTACACATGGGTGTGCGGCCGCACACCCACCCCTCAACCGTACACCTACCTCTATATATAGGAGGAGACCCCCTTCATTCACTCTTTTTCCCTTTTGGTTGCACACTACTTTCTCTCTTTAGAATCTTCACATAAGGACCCTCCAAAGGCCTCAAAAACGTGAAGTAATCCATCATTCAGCTTGTTATACTAGTAAGACACCTTGATCTAAGCCTAAAACTCTTCATGTTCTTTGTGTTCTTCATCACTTGAAGGTGTACGGCCGCACACCTTCATAAGGTGGCCGTACACACCTCAAAGACCATCCAAAGTGAGAGTTTGATCCCCTATTTTCTAGTTGGACTTGGTTTGAACCTTAAAACACTGTAAAATCGACTTTTGGAGCATAAATGAAGAGTGTACGGCCGCACACCCCCGTGTACGGTCGCACACACCCTCTGTACGGCCGCACACTCCTGTATGCAACCACACACACATCCTGGCCACACACTCTTGTGTGATGGTAGGGCACCTAATTCTCCTTTATCACTAATCGTTCTCATCCTACCTCAGTCGTCAATTCACATGTTCCAAATTTTACAATTTTCCAGAGAGAGGTAAAATATCAACATGATTTGAATGTCTCACAATAAATAAATAGAACGTAGTATTGTATTTGACCTATCTGATGTTTGTACTGAATTGGTGCTAGAAATAGATCTGTATAAATTGAGAATGAAAAGAACCTGTTCCATTCCATTCCTCTGTGATAAAATTGTATACCTAATTGTTATTATAGAACTTTTATTACTTGTTTCCTTCCATAAACAATCTCCAAGATCAATAAGCACCAATTCATCATATTTGGTCCTATTAGCAGTAATCATAACAGAAAAAAGTAGACAAGTATGAGACAACACTAAGGAAATTTTGGTTTATTTCCTGCATTGATTGAAGAGGATCTAAAGAACGAACGATCTTAAAACACAAATACAATGGGATGATGATTGTCCTTGGAGCGAGTGGTATACTGTAGAAGACCCTGTAAAAGGTAATAATATATTTGTGTATAATGGGGAAATGTAACTATTTTTTTTGTTACTGATAATTTCATAGAATGTGTGCAGCTTTTGAACTGGTTGCTATGTGGGGAGAGAAAATGGTGGAAAGCTCCATGGAGATGGCTGACAACAGTAGTGATACTCCTAGTGTTGAGGTGGGTTGACATTTTTTTTGTTTGTAAGCTCAGAGATTATGATTTATATTTTGTGTTAATGGTTTATTTGTCCAAAGTGCAGGCTAATGAATACTTTTCTTATCCATCAGTTGCAAAAGAAGAAGGTTTAGTAAAGGAAAGTGACAGGTGAAATAAGCAAGTGAGAGCTCCTTGTTTTATTTATTTATTTATTGAACATTAGGTCTTCCCTGGACCGTTGCTAAAGGACACGACACTTTCACACCTATCAGCTCCATTGTAAGAATTATTAGAAACTACACTCTTTTCTGGTAAATTGTTAATTTGATTAGGATTTTGTTATCTTATTATACTAGTTGATAACTAATAGACATATTTAAATAATTTGCAGTTGTCTTTGTCAAGGGTGCCAGATCCTCATATCTTGGAATTGTGGTTAAAGGTAGCCCCTCCATTCCATAATAATAATCCACTTTTATATGTCGAAATTAATGTTTTACGGTTTTACCCCTCAGGTTGATGGAGAAATAAGACAAAAAGGGTCTACAGAAGATATGATATTTAAGATCCCGTTTCTGATTAGTCACATTATGACACTTCTTGAACGCGATGTCATACTCATAGGTAGAATTTCTAAACTTGTTTTGTGTTTTTGTTTAACAAAAAAAAAATCATTTTGTTGCATAAATGAATGCACATTTAATTACCCTAGAAAATATGGCAATCAACTAATTAAATCTAGTTACCTTAACTTAATGAATTATTTGAGTAGGAACACCAAAACGTGTTGGCCCAGTCAAAGTTGGTCAAAAGATAGAAGGTGGCATAACAGGCATATTGGATGTGCACTTTGATGTTGGAAGGCATCAAAATATTTAAAAAATCAAAAGATATGCATAAGTTCAAGTGATGATCATCACATAAATATTTCATGAATTATGAGATATGATTCCTTTTACATGTCAATGGGTATTTTTATTTGTAGAATCTCATTAAATAACAATTACGGCATGAAAATTGCAAGAATAATAGCATATAATCGTGTAAGTAATTGTATGGGTAAAAGTTTCTAGCCCTAAATAGCTCTGTATGTGGTTACATTTTAGAATGTTTGTAATTTTTGTGTAATATATGAGGTGTTCTCTTTTTGTGCCCTCTTGAATATATCCAATTTCTAATATATGGATCAAATTTCTCTTTACTTTAGTTGAAACTAGTGATGAGGTTTGCACGGGTCAATTTTTTTTAAATGATCAGTAATTCCATTCCAGACCTTTGTGATTCCATTCCATCATAACTATTTTTGTATTACAAAGCAGAATAAAATGAACGAATGTTTGCATGAATTGGTGAGTGCTTTGAAAATATACCTAATGATTATCATTTCTCGGGGTAAAATGTCACACCCGATATGCTCAAAACAGCAACTGATATGATGAACATGATGCCACCAGAAGAGCTCCAAAAAATGTCCAAAATGGCATTAAATGGATCCGGATCAAATACATAGTCAGAAGGTCAAGAAAGGGATTTTTCAACTTTTAATGAGGATATTGGTGAGAGTAGCACTTCTAGAGGGGTGTCAAATTCCAGAAATACCCCTCAACCTAGCTTCCCCAGTTCAAGCTTTGATATGCAGGAACAATTAAAAAATCAAATGAAGAATCCAGCTATGCATGAGGTTTCTGTTCAACTTGCATTGTGAAAGCATTAATAATCCCAGTATATGAAATTTATGAATTTATATTTGGTTTAATATGTGTAGATGATGTCATCAATGATGAAAAATATAAGTCCAGATATGATGGCAAGTATGAGTAAACAATTTGGATATAAAATGTCACGTGAGGATGGAGAAAAAGCTCAACAAGCAATGTCATCTTTATCACCAGAGAGCATTGATAAAATGGTAACCTTCATTTCATTCTTAGATGATCATGATAATTCTTAATTTTTCCATAAATGGAGTAACAAAGTTATTTATTGCAAACTTAAATATTTTAACGAAAGTAAATTGATATTAACATAGTTTTGTTACTTGCTTATTTCAAAAAGTAAGGGCATATTGGTGGCATTAAATGGATCCGATAATTAATTATGGAAAATAACATAGTTTTGTTACTTTTCCTAATATGATCATAATATTAGAGTAAATTACAAAATTGGTCCCTGTGCTGCACTAGAAATTGCAAGCTCAGTCCCAAATTTTAAGTCGTCCTTAAGTTTGCATTTCATTACAAATATGGCCCCTATGCTTTACTCAAAATTGCAAATTCAGTCCAAATTTTGAAGTCATTTTGGGAATGACATTTTTAACTTATAAATACTATGAATGTATGTCAATTTGTAATTTACTCTAATATTATGATCATATCGGGTGTGACATTTTGTAATTTACTCTAATATTATGAAAGAAAAAGTACCATTTTGTATCTTTTTTCTTTTCTGATGAACCACTTTCAATGAATGTAGTTTTTTGATTTGCTAAACATCTTTGCGCTCAATGGTCTTCCCTCTGATGAAAATCCATATTTGTTTAATGGTGATTTTGTTGATCGGGGGTCTTTCTCTGTTGAGGTTATTCTTACACTTTTTGCATTCAAGTGTATGTCTCCATCAGGTAATTAATTTTGATCATGTATCTTTATTGCTATTAAACACTACTATAGATTATAGAATCCTGATACATTAGTAATAATCATTTTTTTAATGTTTTCAGCTATTAAACACTACTATAGATTATGCAAGTCCCTTGTTGAAGCAATGCGTGAGTTAAGGTAATTACCTAAATACCCTCTGTCACATCTTTTCGTGTGTGTTTCATACGTGTACATTATCTGCAACCAATAATGTACGTCATAAAAATGAATGTGTTCTTGTTGTTGCTACTGAAACTATTTCCTTACTGTAAGTATGGGAAACATCTCTACTATTGGTAAATTTTATCCACTTGAATAACTTCTAACTTCTAACAATTTGACTACATTTCTTAATGGAACCCAAAACACCACATGGATCACATATCATATCTCAAGTGCGGTCCCGCATTCTTTGGATGGAGAAAAGGGTAATTTCGTCTTTTACAACTAACATTCCATGTTTGATTCTTCTAATAATTATATTAGCATATTAATTTTTTGACTTTTATTTGATCAGGTCACAAGAATTATCGGAGCAGGGGTTCATTAGTCTTAAAGAATTATGAAAGGCAAGAGGCAACTCTACTTAGTTGGAATTTGATGTTTATCATCTCTGTGTATATCTTTTTAGTTTGTATAACATTACATTGTAGAAGGTGTCCCTTAATAGCAATGTAGTATTAGGTTATATAGTTAGGGAAAACCTCTTAATAACAATGTACAATTAGATCCCCTTAATATCAATGTATTACAATTTTTTGACATGATGTTATTGGATGAAATTGATTGTTTTGGTATATATTTGTTTTTTGTATTAAGCGTAAATGAGTATCGTAAAGACGCATCGTAAATGCATATCGAAAATGGTTATTGAAGTTTATGACACGCAAATGCGTGTCATCTTCATTTATGACAGGGGATTCCTTGATACGCATTGCGTGTCATAAACACGTGCGTCGTAAGGTTACGACACGCAAATGCATGTCGTCTTCCTTTATGACAGGGCATTCCTTGATACGTATTGGGTGTCATAACTGCGCATCGTAAATGTGTGTCATAAATGCGCGCCGTAAATAGACGACGTGTAAAAGCGTGTCATCTCTCGTTATGACAGGACCTTCCTTGACACACATTTGCGCGTCGTCTGAGCGTTTTACGACACGCATTGCACGTCGTAAAAGGCTGTTTTTCTAGTAGTGGTATGTTCTAGTATAGTATCCTCTCTGTCTAGTATGTAATATGTTCTCTAGTATGTAGTATGTTCTCTAATATGTGTTGATTCTCGCTATTGTATTCTCTATCTGTTTCTCGTTATAGTAAGTGATTTTTCTCGTTATAGTATGTACTGACTCATGTATGAACTGACTCTTAGTATGTTTCATTGTCCTAGTAATAGTATTAGTGACTTCCTAAACTATAGCTATTATAGTTTACTAGCAATGTTGTTGGTATGAATGAACATGATTGAACACCTTTGCTACCCAAAGGATCT